GGCAGGGACAGGCAATGCAGGAGGAATGGGATCTCATGGTGTCCAGAGTCCTGGTTGCACTGACAGCATTTGTTTCTTGGCAAACCAGTTCAACTCTGTCCCACTGGGGACAAATACCAGGCTTACTTTAGCCCCTCTGAAATCCCCAGTTTCCTACTGAGACATATGAGAAGGAGCTTCTCTCTGTTAGAGGCATGGCACAAATCTGTCCCAGAGTGGATCACACCATGAGCCTTGAAGCAAGTCCTGGAGTCAGTCAAAATAAGAGCTCTGGATTTTTTTTGTGTGCTCTTTTGTTTTTTTTTGGTTGGGGGGGGGGGGGGAGGGATTGCAATAAGGCTGGAAGTTAGGTATTGAATTCCTGTTGCCTTTCAGTGGAAGTTGCACCCATAACTACTGCAGGCCTCTCTGAAAAAAAATCACAGCTTAATTTTTTTACCAATTCATCCTCTTCATCCTTGAAGCCTCGCAATATGTAGAGGACCTGGGGTCTTTCCCTTCTCCCTGTACCTACCCTGCTAACTCACATATTGGCTTGCAAAATTCACAGCCAGAATTAAATTTATCTTATGCTTAGCTACGGCAGCAATTATTCAATTGAACAGGACAGACCTTGGAGCACAGTTGCCCTTAGGACATGACACAGTAAATATGATACAAGCAGGAGAAGGGTGAAACATGAAACCCCATGCACTCCTGAAAACAGTGTTAGAGAGTAGGTGCCCTTCAGGACAAGGACACCCCATCCCCCATTCCAGGACAGTGCACTTAGTAAGCAGAGGCTGACAAATTAAATGGCCTGATTCAGGATAGCTTTTTATGCCATCCAGTCTACCTCTGCTAAATTCAAGCATGCATTTAATTTTAGGTATGTGCTTATTTTTCCTGTCAATGTGCTGTTCTGATTAGGGATGCTTTCTTGAATTGGGGCCAAGGTAGGCAGCAAATAAATGTCAAATACATGAAAGCACAGCCTGTTAGTCAGCCAAAAAGAAGGCTGACCAAAGGAAGAGCTGACAGGAAACTGTAACTAAATCTTCAGCTCACTGGAGAAATTCTTCAGATACCATGGTAATGAGCGTGGTATAAAACCCAGTCAGATAAGGGAAAGCTCAAGAAAGCAAAGAGACCTAAACTAAAATCTCCATGAACAATGAGGCAAGAAATAATGACCCTCTGGACAGTGAAAGGAACTGGAGTGGAGGGTAGCTGGCTGCCTTCAAGGAGGCACATAAATGACACGATGAAAGATAAAGGGCACAGCAAATAAATATCAAAAGTCAAAAGCACAACAACCCACATTTTTATTACCAGAATGACTGGCATAAAGGAGGTCAGAAAGTCAATAATGATGACCTAAAAAGGAAAACAGAGAAGCTGTAAGAGCTTGGCACTTAGATAACAAGATGATGGCAAGGTAGATTTGCACCTTATAGAGTAACTAAATCAGAGATGTATAGCATAGCATAAGCTTTTGTAATCAGAAGACTTGCTTCATCATATACTTATGTGCTGTACTTAGATAGCAAATCACTGGATAGCTGCTCATTGCAATTTGTTTTAGTTGTTTTTGCTTACTGTAAATATGCGAATTAACAAATTCCCCGATAGGGGAACTGTTTTCACAAAAACAGTGAGCTTTATGCTCATTTTCACTTAGCTTTGGATCCAATTAAAAAAACAATAAGTTATCAGTTTACTACACATTTAGTTCCTACTGCTGCTTTAATTATTTGTTATTTTGTGTTTGTTTGTTGAAGCTGGAAGGGGAAACCTAAGTGTTATCTTATTTTGCAGAAAGAAGATAATCTGCCCCTTCTTTGCCGGGGATTAAAATGGCTTCCATTAATGCTCAGGACTACAAAGGTTATGGGTCTGCCAGTCAAGAAACTAAGATTGAAAGCATGTGAACAATCACAACCAGCCCAACTCAGAAAACATCTAACTTGGCTATTTGCACTGTCATCCTCATGAGAGGAAATGTGTAAGGTAAAACGTTGCCAAAACTCAGCAATGCTTCAAGTCTGAGTTCACTCAAAGTCAGATTCGAACAATGCTGCCTCTCCTCATGGTGACTGGCTGCACCCAGCTTTTAGCTGTGTCATGTAGCCTGCTGCTGTCCTATGATCATGAGGGTGGAGGGAGGGAGGAAGCTGAATTCCACTAGTGCTGCTGTTCTTGGTGATGATGACTATGGCCCCTCCTGATGCCATCCAAGCACCCAATTCCTTTGTTGTGCTGTTTTAATGCCCCCAAGTAGTCTGACATATTTTTGGGGAACAGCCATACGAACAGGAGTTGCAGGACAGGAGATGTGCAAAGGAGAATTTAGGCACATACCCCTTTCAGGTTGCACTGCACACCCCTCAGCCATAGCTAAGGATCTGCCCTCCCTTCTCCCTACACACAACTCCAGTCTCCACAGATGGTACAGCTAGCCCTGAAGTTATTGTTTTGGGGTGCAGACTGACACTGCTGACCTTACTCCTTGCTTTTTGCCTCTGCCTTCCTAGCTCCACAAAAATCAACTCCTTTTTCTACCATGAATATGCCCATTGTGAGTTAATTTTCAATATAATTATTTTCTCCCTTGCTCAGCAAAGTTTGTGAAACTGGATTTTTTTTCCCTGTGGAAGTCAGACAATGGGGCCTTGTCTGCGCTTGGGCATTGTAATAAATAATTTGCCCTGCTGCCACCTCCAGTACAGCTGATCTCTTGGGAATTATATATAACATTCCTTACAGTAAACAAAGCCTCACAATGGCTGGCCTAATTTGACTGGGCCATGTTTAAGAGCTCAGATACACCTTAGTCGAGCTCAGAGGTCTCTTCCCTGCCCACTGTAAAATCCAGCTCACATTGCCAGCAACAAAGGTGGGCAGCAGCTGTTAAGTACTATTAGTTCAGAAGGAGTTTTGCTTGCTTCCTTGAATACAATCACATAGCTCACACTTTGCAAAGCACTTTGAAGTCTACTCATGAAAAGCACTGGGTAAGAGCTAGGTATTAATAGTTACTATTGTAGAAGTTTTGCCAAACGCTGTCTCTAGATAAACATAACACAACGTCGCAACATTTATGTCCCATCTATACTATGAACTACTGTGGTTATGGAATCCAATCACAGTACAGGCAACCCCTGCTTAGCGCGCTTAATCGATTCCTGAAAAACCGAATGTTAAGTGAAACCAAAAGTATTTGATGATCCAAGATGGCAACCAGAAGTGTTTTTAATGACCCAGGATGACAACCGTGAGCATGATAACGAAACTAGCTGAGCACTAAGTGGAATCAGGTATCAATTTAAAATGAGTGTTATAGTGAAATAGTACTGAGCGAAACAGAGTTAAGCAGGGGTTGCCTGTACTGCTTTCCATCCAGAACAGTTACATCTTGTATAGATACTCCTGTATGCCTGCTTATACAAGACCTTGAGGATGTGTCTGAACTGTATCCTTGACCTCTACTATACAGTTGGCCTATGAAAGAGGTCTGTCACAAGCTGGCCAAGTTCCCCTCCTCTGGACAGGTCCCAGTCCTCTGTGAGTAGACCCAACTGTTAGATCCTATGGACTTCGAAATCAACCAGGTATGTACAAAGCTGAGTCACTGCAACTTGCTCAGGGTCACAGAAGAATAGAGTTATAGAAATGTAAGGCTGGAAAGGACCTCCAGAGGTCATCTAGTCCAACCCCCTGCCTGAGCCAGGATCATCCCTATCCAAATGATCCCATGAAAATCTTTGTCTTATCCATTATTAAAACTACATAATCAACCCTGTCACACAACGACAAGGCATGGCACCATAACTTGCCACCTGCAAAGCAGGAGAACAATAGTGGTCAGTGTGCTGCTGCAGAGGTTGTTAAAACACACTTGAGAGATGCAAGGAAGAGGGCCATGCCTCCTGCTATACTGGAAGGCACAGACCATACCAGTCTGAACTCAGGGTAAAATTCCTTCTTGACCCCAAATGTGGAGATCGCTCTGACCCTGAGCAGAGGGGCAAGACCCCCTAGGCAGGAACCACTTGGTTTTAGTCCTGGAAGGAGCACTGATACACCCGTCAAAATCCCCAGTGTTGGCTCAACCAACACCCAGTGCTTCTGAGGAAAGTGAAGAAAAAAACCCTGACACCTACTGCAACAAGAGGGGAAAAGAATTCCTTCCTGGCCCCATGTGGCAACAAGTAACTAGGGGATGGCAAGTACAGCCCATACATCACACCCTCTTATTGCTCAGCCAGCTTTAGACTACAGAACTCTTCTCGTCATCTCCAAGTAATCCATGTGTGTGTGTAGAAGGTGGTGGGTAGCCCTGGGTTTCTAATCATTGCTCTTTACAGAGCACTTCAGGCATAGCTATTCCTAGATCATCCTTGACCAATGTTTATCCAACCTCTTTATGAACACCTCCAGCAATGGAGAGTCCACAACTCCTCTAGGCAGTCTATTTCATTGTCTCACTGTCTTAATAAGTGACTTTTTCCTGATATTCAATTTAACTCTACTTTGCTGCAACTTCAGACCATTGGTCCGTGCCCTACTCTCTGCAGCAAAAAAGAAAAGGTGTGCTCCCTCTTCTTCATGGCAGCATTTCAGACATTTGAAAGACTACTATCACCTCCTCTCAAGTGCCTTTTTGGCAAGCAGAACATGCCTCTCCTCATGTAGCTTACCTTCCAAGCCCTTGATCATTTTGTCATCTGCCTCTGGACCCTCTTTAACTTCCCCCATATCATTTTTTAAATGTGGAATCCAGAACTGCACACAGTATGTGATTATTCAGCCTATCAGTGCCGAGTAAAGGAGAACTATCACGTCCCATGTCCTGCACCTAATGCTCCTAATGATGCAGCCCAAACACACATTTGCCTTTTGTGCAGCTGTGTCATACTGCAGACTCATGTTGAGTCTGTTACCCATCAAGACGCTACTTCTCTGTAGTGCTGCCATCCAACCAGTTGTCATCCATCTTATATTTGTGTTTTTGATTATTCTTCCCGAAGTGAAATACTTTGCATTTGTCAACACTGAACTTCATCCTGTTGGCTCTAGCCCAGCTTTCCAATCTATTAAGATCGTTCAGAATTGTCCTCCTGTCCTCCAATGTGTTCACAGTCCTCCCCAGTTTCAAGCCATCTGCAGATTTGCTCAAAAAGCTCTCTATCCCAGCATCCAAACTGTTAATAAACACAAACAGCACCAGGGCCAGGATAGACACCTGTGGGGCTCCACTCGAATCCTCCTGCCATTCCAACATGGATCCATTTACAATTACCCTTTGCTTGCAGCTATTGAGCCAGCTGCCTAGCCACCATAGTTTTATCTAATTCACATTTCTCCAATTTGTTTATGAGAAGGTCATGTGGGACCCCATCATAAGCTTTTCTGAAGGTTTCTGAAGCAAGCCCCAGTACAGATGTAGTATCCACCACCTTGCTTTGGGATGTGGGATATGCTGCCCAGACTCCTTAAACCCAGGAATCGGCACTTTAGCCCTCTCAAGCCCCCTCGGAGTTTAACCTTACCATGGGTGCTCTGAGCTCCTCGATTCATTCCTTCAGGGAAAACATGACAGGCAAGCAAGGAATGCAGACTTAGAAAAGAATTTCCTTACCACAACTGCTAAACTCTTGAGAGCACTACAATGGGATACAGCTCTGCAACACTCCCCTTTCCCCCAAATCCCCAATTTGAGCTCTGGTCAGCATTTCAGACTTAGGAAGAGTCGCTCTTGCCTGCTCTTCCAGCATGTAGAGAGAGGTGCCTGGTCCCTTTCTCAAAGAGCATTTGCCCCCGAATAGTCTGACCTTTTTGGCCACGTTTCGAAGCTGAGGAACTCTCATCCCCTCCCCCAGCCAGACTTACATGTCAAGAGTTAATTGTCCTTGCAGAGAAATTGGAGGCTGAGGGACAGCTGCTGGCAATCTTTTTGAAAGTCTTTTCCGATGCATCTTCTACCACTTCTGAGCAAGGCTGTCTGGCTGTCAGAGCACACAGAATATGAACTGGCACATAACACACACTTCCATAAATGCTACCCAGATACAACAAGAACCATTAGCAACAAGCTGTACAAATAAGGAGTGCTTACTGCATCTACTGTGTCATTTGGAGTAAGACGGGGATTATCCAGGATCCAGAGGAGGCCTCCATACAATAGGGGATTGAAAGAAGCTGTTATAATTATGGCTCTCAACATATATTAGGCCTGCTATGAGTTCCTTCAGGAGGATATTTCCCTTATAGGGAAGGGCAGGAGAACTCTCTTTCAGTTTCCATACTTGGACTCCATACCAATATCCCTCTTCTGGAGGACCCAAACATACAGATTCCTATTCAGAAAGCAGTTTTTTCACCTTACTGTTGGAACAGAAACATTAACTGCAGTTGCTACTGCCCAGTTTCAGAAAATTATGTCATTGACAGAAAACACCTTTGATTTCACTAGCAAACCACCCTAGTGAAACACCTTAGACTCAGCTCAGTAACATACGGCTATAAAGAAAGAGTATGTACAGTGGTTAGACCACAGTTAAAGAGCAGACTTCTATTCCTGGCAGTGCCGTAGTAAATGGGGGGGCAAGTGTGCCAACCACCCCGGGCGCCGAAGCGAAGGGACGCCAACAGGCACTACCCAGCCAGGGCAGAGCATGGGACAGAGCCGCAAGCAGATCGTTTGGGGGGCGTGGGGATGGGGGGTGGGCAGCTCCTGCCACTACGTGCACTCCTGGGCAAGCATGGGGTGAGGGTGAGCTGCCGCTGCAGGCTTTGCCCCAGGCACCAAACTTTGCAGCTAGGGCACTGCCTATGACTTGCTCCGTAACCTTGAGTAAGTAGCATCATCTTTTCATACCTCCTTCCTTACCTGTACATTAGACATCATTATCTCTACCTCACATGGGTTGTATAAAACCTAATCTTTGTAAAGCCCTGTGACATCCCTAAAGGACATGGTAGGTGTAAATTGTTAAGCATTATAAAGTAGTTACAATTAAAGGACAGGA